CACACACACACACACACACACACACACACACACACACATGCACACACACGCACACACAGACAACCCTTTTCTGCACTGCATAAATGCAAAAAAACGCGTAACTAGTATCTCATTGAATATGTGCTGCAATTGGCAAATACATACATGCATCGTTCCGTGGCTTATTTGAACGCCGCTAACTCTTCCATCCAGCAGCGTGACATTTTACGCCTTACTTCCTTGAAAAGAACTAGTAACAGTAGGAAAAATGTCACTTTCAAAGTCGATGCTATGTTAGTCAAAGACCAATAATTCCTCCGTATTCGCTCTCCATCAAAGGCAATTGCGCTTGGGAAAACCTAGAATAGTATCATATAACAACAGCACCCACACGGCAGCAAGACTGCCAAAGGCTCTTTCGGGAACTACTTAAAAGCAAACCAACAGCGGTTGATAATGTTAGAAAAAAACACCTTCTAAGTTAGTAATCTTGTTAATCAGCAAGTAAACAAGCAAATATCCTTAGTATAATAAAGACTTCTTGAAGAAGGAAACTGTTTGGGGGAGCATTTTCTCCAAACGAATTTCTGCATTGTTTTTGAAGGGTTGGGTTTTTTTTAGATTGCTAACTTTTTATATGATCTCGATGCGAAGTTCCGCCTGTTAAATCTGAAAAACGATAATTTGCGTCGTCGATACGACGTACTGAAATATGATGTCCAGAGAACGGAACAAGTGATCTATGATCTCACAATTCGAGGTCTGAAACCGTTAGAGGAAAAATCGGCCGCAGCAGAGTCTTGATTGGTCGATATTTTGCGTCAGTTGTTACGGATTCATTATGCTTGCCTTCTGCTTGTTTTTTGATGATGCCACTGTTGCTGATTGTTATCCCATATCTGTAATTTCAGTTTATTTGTCGAATTCTAATAGGTGGCTAAAAATTCGTAAAGTAGCGGAAAAGTGCACAGATTTATTTGCGATGTAATTGTTAAGTTACTTTTAAGTCAAAAAATTACATTATTTTGTACAAAAAGTATGAGATCTGTAGGAAAAGTGGGCATTATCGATTCTTTTTTTTTGGCGGAAGGGTGCAAGGATCTCCAAAAGGTCTATCCCTGATCTCTCTTTGACAATTTTTAGCTCACAATTGCTCGTATCCACTTACATCGTTTTGTTACCCATGGACGAGTTGGCGCAGGAGTTCTATTTTATTTTGTT